CATCTGCCTCCCTCCCTTCCCGTAGAGTTTTCCAACGACTAACAGGAACCCAGCTCAGCTGGTTTTTAATCACGCTCCTGTCCTTGCATTTTTCCGACTCAATTAAGCCATTACCAGGGCTAAATGAGGCGTGGACTCTCCAAAAGTCACACCTGTTGTCAGGGAGATTGGGCGCGGGGGTGGGGGTGGGGCGCCAAACCTGTGCAGCTGGCCAGAAACAAGCCAGGCTGGAGAGGGGCAGCAGAGTGTGACCGGGCAGTCTGGGCTCCCTACGGTGCTGAAAGAGACCCCCATTGCAAAATAAGAGAAGAAATGAAGACTGACCTGGGACTGGGGACAGGCGTGCTGATGGGGGATGGTCACACTGACGGTGGCAGATAGGATGTCCCTCTCTAATTCTTAGGCAACAAGTGTGTACAGAAGCCCTTACCACGGACGGCCGCAAGAGTAAGGAAAGCTGTAGCCAGAGCCAGAGGTACACAAGTTTGCTGCTCGATATTTGATGTCTCCCGGTTATTTTCCCTGTTCTTCCTCATTACGTTTCACCTCCTTTCTACAGCAGTAGTTCAAACCCCCAGAGGCTGTGCTTCATAGTCAGTGCGGCGAAGAGGACACAGATTACAATAAACCAGGGAGAAGTCCCTGGCCTCAGCCTATAAAGACAGGTGACACCACTGGAAATCGATTCGGTTTTGTAAACATTTTTTCTCCACAGTCCTTCATAGGCAATCTAGAAATTTTATTTCTAAAACCCAGAAACAGAAAAATTTCTGTTTTCAAGCTTCCCGTGCCTTAACCATGCGTAGAGGTTTTGTGTTCAGAAGATCTGCTCCTGGGTTTTCTCTAGGTGGACAAAATTGTTTGACTGGAGAGTTAAACAGCTTCCAGAAATGTTGAGATCAAAGGGAGGTAAGGGAGGGCTTTACTCTGGTGAAAACGCAAAGTGGAGATGTTAATGACAAGTCTGTCTTTATCCTCCGGCAACTCAAACTGAATTGTGGGTCTTAGACGAACCAAGGACCTCTTACGTTTTTTTGCACAAAGGCAAGTTCAACAGATTCTTTTAAAGTATCCATTCAGCTTCCGGTCCCTTGTTCAGTGCTGTAGATGCAACTGAGATCATGAGGAAGTCCTACCCACAAAAGTTCTTAAGTCACGTGGGGTGGCTGCTTTCCCTAGTCTGTCTGCAAGTTGCTCAGCCATACCTGGTCTCTACAGTGACACTTTAGTCACTCAGTTAATATCTATTAAATTTCAGACGTGGCACTTTGTGGTAAGCCTCCATGATGACAAAGAGCCAGCCCCTACTGTGTGTCATTCAAAATTGTGATTCAGTTCATTCCCAAAGCTATCATAGAGAACATCACTCGGGACTGTGCTCGCCCTGTCCCTAGTTCCCCCTTCAGTATAATAATTGCACTGCTGTGATTATAATGCATGTTCTGTCTCCTTTTAAACTATAAACACCTGGAAGGCAAGAATTTCACATTTCGTTCCCTAGTGTCTTATATGCCGTGGTGTCTAACACAAGGGTAGCCTAGAAAATGTTCCTTGAGTAATAACCACCCCATAGCCCAGGCTGCTCACATCTCCCTCCCACACCTCTTGGGTAAGGAACTCAGTGAGAAATCACCTGGCTGTCCTGAAACACCCCTTCTGCTACCCTCATGGTGGCGAGGACCTCTTAGTTGTGGAACCAGCTGTTTCCGATATGTGTCTGCCAGTGAGCAAGGAGGGAGGAGACAAAGCAAATATTAGCATTGGCTGTGTGTGTCGCTGCCTTGGAGAAAGGCAAACAGGGCTGATGTGATTTAAATAAACTTAACGTAAAGAAAATAAATGAGTTGTGACTCAAGACAGGTACTGTTAGGAGTAGTTAGAAAAGAATGCAGGGGGGGAAAAGCCACCTTAACCAAGTCAGAAACCTGTTTCCTTGGCACACCAAGGGCAGGAAGAGTCCAGTGGTGAGGTTTGGCTCCATGAGAGTCTTAACCTACAGAGCCATCCTTCCCTAGAGTGTGTGGCCATTGACTGTCACATACACCTCCATGCAGCAGAACAAGGTTTGCAAAGATACAGCGCAAAGTGACAAAACCAAAGGCGGCATCTGAGGATGGTAGGGTATGCCTCTAAGCCTTGAGGCTGAGGCAGGAGAATTTCAAGTTTGAAGACAGCCCGGGGGCTACGTAGGAAGTTCTAACAAGACCTGTTTCAAAAACTAAACAATAATAAAAATTCACTTACACTGGGAAAGCGGGTTAGGAAAAAAATGTATAAATTCAGATTTAAAAAAAATAGACTTTTAGGTGCCCTTGGAAATTGGGTGAATTTCCAATTTGGGAGAAGATGGGAGAATTAGGTGGATTCCAGGGGGGATTTAGGAAGTAGGCTCTGCAATGTGAAGGGTGCTGATGGGACAGCCAAGGAAGCTGAGGCTGATGCCTCAGCTTCCTTCTTGGAGGGTAGAAAATAAAGTTCTGTGACAGAAAACAGGAATGAGCAGCAAATTTTGGAGGGAGAGGAGTTTAGGGCTTGTTAAGGCAAAGCAGCTTGGAGAGGCATCTGGATGAAGAGGTTCGGGGGACAGTACAGTCCCTGGCCCTGGACTTGAGAAAGACTATATACTGGACCACATCAAAAAGCAATCGGCATTTGACCCACCCAGAGGGGATCTGGGATGTGGGATGAACACACCAGAGGTTCTCAGCAGGCGGATCAGGCTACTGCAGAAAGACTACAGTCAGAATCTGTGACTGATCCATGATTAACCAGAACTCTTACCCTGGGATGTCACACCCCTTTGCACTTGTCACCACTGTTTTCTGGGGGAAAAATGATATGGATTTAGGTATATAGACATATAGAATAGTCACACAAATAAAATCTTTACAGATAATAAATCAGAAAAGTATTAAGACAATTATTTAATGGTCTAGTTTCATTCTGTTACAGTGAAAAACAAAACCCCTCATGTCTTTAATCTTAGCACTCGAGGCAGAGGCAGGGGGATGTCTGTGAGTTCAAGGACAGCCTGGTCTACAGAGTGAGTTCCAGGACAGCCAGTGCTACATAGAGAAACTGTCTCGAAAAACAGAAAGAAAAAAGCAACCCAGGGGAATAAAGGGTTTATTTCATCTTACATTTGGAGATCAAAGCCCTTCACTGAGGGAGGTCAAGGCAGGTACTCAAGCCTGGAATGGAAACCATGAAGGAATCCTGCTTACAGGTTCCCTTACATGATCCTAATGAGCCCAGGATCACCTACCTAGGAATGGTGCCAGTCACCGTGGGCTGGGCCCACCTGCACTCTAATAGTCAAGACATTCCTGCATGGGTAAGCCCACGGGAAATCTTACACAGGCAATTTCTAAATCAAACCTCTTCTCAAATAACCCTGGGCTGTGTCTAGTTGACAATTAAAGCTTATTGGGAGCCAGGTGTGGTGGTACATACCTTAGATCCTAGTGGGGGAAGGGCGGGGTCAGGCAGATGGGTCTCTGTGAGTCTGAGGCTATTCTGGCCTACATAGAGAACTCCAAGCCAGACAAACCTACAGAGAGATCCTGCTTTAAAATAAGAACAAAACTCTACAGGACATTTAGTATGCATATAATTTTGACATTTATTAAGGGCAACAGGAATTTGCATACTAATGATATGGGTATGTGTATTTATTTTTACATAAAAAATTAAATCTCAGCTAAAAACGATGCCTCATTTTCAGTGTTCTTGAGAGTTCATTGATATTTGGTTTATAACCATTGGTGCTGAGCATGCCACTTCATAAAAATATGTAGTACAAAAATGACAGAGATCTGTTTAGGGCCATTTCAGAAGTTGTTGAAAATATGCCCCAACTCCAAGCCAAATTTGTTGAATTTTTTTTTAAGATAATCAAGTCAGCAACTCAAATGGCAAAGTTTGAAAATCAAACCTTCTGACACAATACAATCTGAAGACACACTGATTCAATACATGCCAAGAGATGGCAACAGGGACACATTAAACATTTGCTCTCTGCTCTAAACCACAGTGTCTAAGAACAGAAAACTTCGGGCTGAGAGACGACTCAGTGGTTAAGAGCCTGCCTGCTCTTCTAAAGGTCCTGACCTAGGTTTAATTTCCAGCAACCACATGGTGGCTCACAATAATCTGTAGTGAGATCTGGTGCCCTCTTTTGGCCTGCAGGCATGCATGCAGGCAGAACACTGTATACACAATAAAAATAAATAAATCTAAAAAAGAAAAATAAAACAGAAAACTTCATATGTTTAATGGAACACTGCAGTTTGTACACACAATTGTCTTAAGAGGAGGCATTTCCGGAAGCACTTTTACTCACTGAGACATCTTGCTGGCCTCTGTCAAAATTGCCAGGATTCCCCACAGCTAATTGCATGACCCGCTGTTACAAACCACCATTTAAGAGACTGTGTTTCCTATAAACTGTTCTTAAAAGTCTTGTAAACTATAACGTTACACACTGGAAACAGAGATCTTAACTAAAGGGGGTGGGGCTATAAAAGTAAGTAAAGAACGAAGGATCTTCTCTGACACTTTTGTTTGATCTGACGTCAGGTTTGAACTTACAAGTAACTTGTCCTGTGTTTTCTGCAAAAACATACGGGGAATAAAGTATCATCGGTATTTTAACTGAACAAGCTCTTCCTTCTGGGTCATTTCCAGGCATCCTTCATGCAGAAGGGTAAGTGGTTTATGGTCAGCAGCTGCAGAGCAGGTCACATTTAGGAGTGGCCTCTTCAGAACGTGGCCTCTCAGAACTGGATGCCCCCCTTCTGCATTACAGACAAATGACATTTTCTGTGTCTCACACACAGTAACAGTAAAGTTGTGGTTCTAAGCCATGCTTCTCAATCTGCTACCTCTGAGTCCCTTGAAATGGAAATTCTCAGCTACCTCACACAGATGTGATGTAGGTTTACCTAAATCTCTCTCTCTCTCTCTCTCTCTCTCTCTCTCTCTCTCTCTCTCTCTAGCAGCACCTGGAGCAGTGGCTACATGATGTCGCTTCTCAGGACTCAAGGACCAACAACCCTACACCTCTGCAACGGAGAAGGCAGGAATGGAGAAACAAGCACAACCACTTCTATTCTGTCGTTAACCACTCTGTAGACATGTGTCCCCATCAGAAGGCGTGAACTGCACAAGGGGGAAGTTCCTGGGGCCCTCCAGACCACTAGCACCTTTGACTGCCCCCCTAGAGAGAAGGCAGAGCCATGGCATCTTATAGCTGCTGTTTGGCCCTCTTGGCTCTTGCCTGTCACTCCTCTGCCTACGGGCCCGACCAGCGAGCCCAAAAGAAGGGGGACATTATTCTTGGGGGTCTCTTTCCTATCCATTTTGGAGTAGCAGCCAAAGATCAAGATCTGAAATCAAGACCAGAGTCCGTGGAGTGCATCAGGTAAGGAAAGGCTGTATCAAGGATCTGTCCATCTCTGGGTAGATAGAGAAAAGCCACACTAGACCCAAAAGAACATTAAAAACCTTTTCTCTCTTTTTGCAAATAACAGGCTATAATGCTGAGGCATATTGACTCCTCTGTTTTCTTTCCCTAAAGAAGTCTTTTTCTAAAAAAAAAAAAAAAAAAAAAAAAAAAAAAAAAAAAAAA